AAAAAAAAAAAAAAAAAAAAAAAGTGAAAAGGAAAAGCGAAGCAAAGCAAAGCGCGGGAGTTGATGTCCAAAGTTTCCCCAGTCATTCAACCCGCAGCGCAGCGCTGTGTCCCGCCTGCTGCATCCCTGTCCCCTCCTCGCTTCTCCTCCCACACAGAAAATAAACCCGATCAGGGGGATGGCTGCCGGAGTTTCACCCCCAGCGGCATGGCTTTGGGGGGGTTATCGTGTTGTTATTTTATTATTATTATTTATGTGTGTATATATATATATGTGTATATTTACCTTGCAATTTTATGAATGAAAGCGCCCGGCTGAGCTGGGAGTACCATCCCCAGCCCTGAAACAGCGATGCTGGTGACATCCACGGGGAGTGCGAGATGCTGGGGATATGGGGGGGAAAGCGGGGATGCGATGCGCTGTGGGTTCCACTGGGGCTCCTTGCGGGGCACGGAACGAGGACTGCTCTCTTCCGTGAGAGTGAGAGAACGGGAAAAAATTCAAACAGTAAAGACACAGAGGCGAATCGAAAAAGATTTCAGAACATCTCGCCGAGGGAAAGTCGTTTTTTTCTTTTTTTGGCCGCGAGAAAAAAAGTATATTCTAAAATGAAGTACCTAGTGGCGGTAGGAGCTCCCCCCCGGTCGTCAGCCTCACGCCGTGCTCAATCGGCTTTTTGAAACTGCAGATCCTCTGAGGCAGAGAGGGGAGAGAGGAGCGAAAAAATCCCGATTAGTAACTGAAACACACTGCGACCCGGAGGGCTGGAGAATAAACCGATTGTGGAGGCGAAATGTGCGGCGATACACCAGCAAAAAAAAAAAAAAAAAAAAAAAAAAAACCCAGAGCACCGCTGTTTGCGAAAAGGTAATTGAGGAGGGAAAATATTGCCAAGTTTTCGCTATTTTTTTTTCTCCCGTAACTTTCTGCTCTGAGAGCGGTTCGTGTGGCCGAAAGAGAAGAAAAAGAAGAAAAAAAAAAAAGGTGCTTTTTTTTTTTTTTCCTCTCTCTTTCCAAACCCCTCCGAAACCCAAAAGATAAAATTACTGGATCTAAAAATAAAGCCGTGGTTTAAAGCTTCCCCCACCCTCTCCGATCTCCCACCCCTTCCACCCCTCTCTCGCCTTTCTCCCTCCCTCCCTCCCTCTCTGCCTCTTTCTGTGTGTTTGCGTTTGACAAAGAAATTATTTGAACTTCCCACTGCCTCATAAAAAGGAAACAGAAGAGAGCGGCTTTGACATATGGATGTGATTTTTCTGCTCTGAGACAGATGCACGCGGAAAACAACCAGCACCGGGGGCTGCGGAGCTGAGCGAAGCCGAAGTCGCTCCGCTTCTTCACATGGGTTCTTCCGTTGCCTTTCGGGAGCTGCCCGCATCTCCAGCCATGAGAAAGCGAAGCAAAGGACCGGGTTTTCTCGTCATGTGCCTTTCTGGCTAAAAACAAACAAACAAAAACAAACAAGCAAACAAACACCGGTTCTGGAAAGTGAGGGGGGGGTGGGGGGGGGAGTTGGAGGGAGGGAAGGAGAAGGAGAAATCATCTGCGAGAGGAGAGCTGGAAGACCTCTCCGTCCTCCAACTTCCCCGAGAGAGCGTGGATGCTGGAAGGAGCCCCTTGGATATGGGATCATATCTGGTTTATCACAGCCTGGGTTTGATCCTCTGCTGCTCCGTGCTGAGCTCGGTCTACGCTCTGGTGAGTGCCTCCCATCCTTCTTTTCTCGGCTGTTTCCTTGACAAGTAAAACCGTTCTGCTTTTTGGGGGGATTTGAGGAAGCAGAGAGCCACTTTTGCAGCCCCGGTGGCTGATCTCGCTGCTTTCCGAGCTGCTGCACCAGATGAAATTAAAAATGTCTGTGCTTCCCGGAGAGTTTGAATCACTTTTCAGTCCCTCCGGACGGGAGCGCGTGTAGTTTGACAGGGAGCTGCTCCGGGAAAGGCGTTTTGGGGGATCACTCAAAAGACACCTCCCAGGAAAGGGCGATTTTTCCTTTTTTTTTCTTTCCTTCCTCTCTGTCTCTCTGCCTCTCTCTCTCTCTCTCTCTCTCTCTCAAAAAAAAAAAAAAAAAAAAAAAAAAAAAAAAAAAAAAAGGACGTTTAATTTTCATTTCATTACATTTCCATTTAATCTTCCTAATTTGCAAATCTGCAAAACAGTGCCTTGCTTTCCGAGATTGATTTTGGAGAGCGTGGGGACTGCAGACAGTTTACACACAGGAGCAAACTGTGAAAGTAGTATTAACCCTTTGCTCCCTGGCACTATTTTCACCTGCTCCTGCTCACACCAAGGAAGAAAACCTTTACAGAGGCGACCAAAAAGGGCTAAAGGCTGCCCAAGCTGCCTTGATGGTGGTGATGGGCAACTGGTTGAGATCCACAGACACTCTCTCACCAAAGTCCTGCCACAGAAATCAAGTCACACAGAAATCAGCCACCAGATATCAACTCATCGCTGGGTGTGCTGCTTTGACACGTGCTTTGCTTCCTTTCTCCATCCCTGATGGAGTGGTGATGGGTGGCATCAGCATCGCTTGGTCAGTTCTTGGTGTACGAAGTGGCACAGCCACCACCTGACCACCAGACACCACTTAATGCGGTGTCTGCTCTCCAGGAGGGATGGAGATCATAGAAATCATAGAATTGCTACGGATGGAAATGACCTCTCAGATCATCTAGTCCAACTGAGGTGTGTTGGGAAAAGGGTTGACCCCAGTGCTGGTTCTGTTCAGGTCCTCTCCAATGGGCTGTCACATTCTTTTGGGTTTGGTAGGAACTCATGCAGGGCAGGTGGGGAGGTATTTCCCCATTTCCAGCATCGTGCTGGGGGGAAACATCAATATATGAGAATAGACAACCTCTTGGAAAACAGTCTGTGTCACAATCCATCCCGGTCTTGATCTAACTAATCTTAACTCAAAGGCCAAAGAAAAGTGAGGGGTGCTGAGGGGCGGAAAGTGTAGGTACAGTGAGGCTTTAGTGACATCTGAGGTTTCTCCCATGTTCTTGGGTTGGGTTAGCATCTCCATCACCACGGTGACTTTGCAGGCTCTGTGGGATCTGTAACACCTGCTGTCCCCATATACAGCCATAATGTTGCCGGAGTCAGCATCAAAAATCCCGTTAGGGCTGAAACAGCTCCATTAGGGCTGAGCAAACTTCAGTATCTAGAAAAGATAGGCAAGAACCAACAGCCTACCTTTACTCCCTGTCCCATTTTGGTCCCTGTCCCAGTACATCCCAGTATCACCAGAAGATACAAGGAACAGCCAGTGAGCCATGCCTCAGTGTCTGCTATCTCCTGTAGCTGTTCAGGAACTGCAGAGTTAACCTGTGAAAAAAAACCACTGAGGGTAGCTGCAGAATGATAGGGATGGAAATACTTAATTTAGAGCTAGACTGTGTGACAGCTTTGGCTGGGCTAAGAGCGGTACCCAGTCCTCCATCAAAGGGTCAGGAGGATTCTCTTAGAATGATGCAGTGAGTTCTTGGAACTTCAGGGCATGATTTATCTGTCTGGGGCAGGAGGATGTGAGGTTTGAAGACATGGGACTGCAGGATATGAGATTGGAGGACATGGGACTGGAGGGCATGAGGTTGGAGGTTGTGGAACTGGAGGACGTGAGTTTGGAGAGCTGTGGCTGTTGGGCTCTTTGCTGCTCAATCCTTTGCATCCCAGAGCTGGTGAAGCCCAAAGCACTGTGCCTCCTAAATCTGAAGCTGTCATTCCCTTTGATCAGTAGGCGAAAGTGGCAAAAAAAGTGAGAAAGGGATGGGGAATGATGTTTCTGATGGTCTGTGCTGGTGCTGTGTGTGTGCCCCCACATTAAATCTAAGCATGGGGGGAATTCAGGCACACTTTAAATTGCAGTGGGAGTGGGTTCCATTGCAAAAGGAGTGGGTGATGCTCTGTTCTCCTCCAAACCCCACAGCAATCTGGGGATGCCCTCCTCCTTGCCTTTCCCCTGGAATATTCCTAATTAACACGTGCTTAAGCGGTGGCAGGAATCAGTTTATCAATTGAGTGCTTTGCACTCCAGTCTGGCAAGAAGAGGGGTGACATTTGGGTCCATTTTTCTATTTGGCGAGAGCAGCCTGAGTCTGACAGCCCTGTAGATGCGTGCTTGAAAAGATGATGCATGCAAAAGGAGCCTTAAAAGTGGGTCGAACACCAGCACGAGAGGAGAAGTTCAGACTTTGGCACTGCTTTTATCAGGAAAGCACTGCCAGAACTGCTTGCAGGAAAACCTCCCCGTGTCCCTCCTCCAGCCAATACCCCCATGGTTTGCTCTGCTGAGCTGTTCAGTTCTCAGTTTCGTCCTCAGCTTGAGCCTGCTTATCTCTGTCAGAGATACTAAGAAGAATAATTTAAATATATACATAAAATAAAGCCATGCTCTGCTCAGATGCTGCTGAGGGATTTGGGTTGGAATAACTCAGTTTTGGGAAATGGGTAACAGCCTGAGCCAAGTGCCAAGTTCTGCATGGTTAGGAAAAGTGGGTGCAGGTGTGGGTGGAAAAAAGACACCAAGCGTTGCCTTTCTGCCATCCTCCAGTGCCTCTCAGGAGGTGCTGCTCCTCTGGAGACCGTGCTTGGCCAGCAAAATGGGCTCCAGCTCTGCCTGTTGGTTCCCCAGCTCTGGCCCCTCTGCTTGGGCACTGCTGAAGTTTGGTTTTGCAGAGGAGCTGGGACGCTCCCCTGAAAATTCAGGGGGTGTCAGTAAAGGATTGAGAGCCCTTTTCTTGTGGGAATTACCCAAAATGGGGATGAGCTTGGCCAGGTCATCGTCAGGACAGTTGGATTAGATGATCCTAGAGGTCTTTTCCAACCTTTATGATTCTGTGGTTCAGGAGAGTCTCAGCCCTCACTCCCAAAAGAGTGTCCACACCAGTGCTGATGTTGCTCTCCAGCAGGAAGGTAGGAATAAGAAAAGTTGTCCTGCTTCACCCTGGAGGAGCACCAAGTAACAGAGATCCCAAAGCTCTGCAGCAAAGCCATTGGATTAAGCAGGTGTTGGTAGATGCTTTGCTCTTTGCTTCACTCCTTGTTCATCCATCTGATCAGAACCACCTCTTAATGTATTTGGAAAAGGAAAGGATTTTAGATTGAACCATTCATAGCTGGAAAGAAAGAAAAAAAACAACAAAAAACCCCAGCACGTATTCTCCCTGAGAATGGGGCCAATAGTAAAAAGAATAATCATCAAATAATCCTACATAGAGATCCTGCAAATCCCGACTACTGTCTGAATTGATTAAATAAAGGCAGCCTCCAAGTGCAAGGAAACAATATCCGAAATGTTCTTTTTCTCCGCACGAGCTTGGGAATGTGCCCATCCCTGCCCCGTGTATTTATGAAAGATATGGGGTTTTTTATTGTACTTTGGGATTAGCAGATATCCCTGGACTATAAAATACCCGACCGCAAAATATAAAGCAAACAGGGCTCTGCATCAGGGCAATACATGGGCTGTGATTTCACCCTGCAGAAGCCTGAAGCGCTCAGTGGCAAATCTGACCTGAGCAGGCTGAGTTTGGTGCAGAGGGAACAGAGAATGCAATGGGGCAAATATGCATGCAGAGGGTCAAGGCGTGAGGATACGAAACCTGAGGTGTGCCTTTTAGGTCCAAGCAGTTGTTTGGTTTCTGACCTCCTAGAAATAGCTCCAAAGCGCTGCTTTGGGATCAGTGGGGTTATCCTTGGGAGAGCAGTGTGTCTGCAGTCCCAGCCAGGGGTAACCCAGTTCAGACAGCTCAAGCAGGAACAGCTGTTGTCTCCATCACCAGACCACCAAGCAGCCCCTGTCCTCCCATGTCCACGTGCAAAATCATGCTGAGATGCCTGCCCTGACAGCAGGAGTCGTCTCACATCTTTGCATCCATTGATTTGGCATCCGTTCTCTTCCTGGAAAAGAGAAGGCTCTGGGAAGACTTGAGGGTGGACTTTCAGAATCTAAAGGGGCAGTATGAAAAAAGGAGACAGTCTCTTTAGCAGGGTCTGTTGTGGTAGGATAAGGGGGAACGACTTCAAGCCAAAAGAGGGGAGATTTAGACTGGATGTAAGGAAAAAGCTTTTTTGCAGTAAGGACAGCGAGGCACTAGAAGAATTGCCCAGAGGGGTGATGGATGCTCCATCCCTGCAGACACCCAAGGTCAGGCTGGATGGGGCTCTGAGCACCTGATGGAGCTGTGGGTGTCCCTGTTCATTGCAGGGGAATTGAACCAGATGACCTCTACAGGCTGCTTCCAACTAAAACGATTCTATGATTCTGTAAATCCATTCCTGGGCACACCAATAAGGGGCCATTGGTGGAAGATGCTGGCTGGAGGCTTTGACCCCATAGGGATGTGCTTGGGAATTCACTGCTCAGCCACCTGATGAAACACAGTTGAAATCAGTCCCTGACCTGCAGATATTTGGGGCATAGACATACACCCATCGTGCCTTGGTTTCTCAGGAGCTGAGGATCTCCTCTGATCCAAACCCTACCTGGGAAGTGGTCCTCAGGTCCTCATCACTGCCAAGCTGCTCCATCCTCACCCCCCCACTGCTGCAAGATAGTGATGATGATCAGTGCATATTTACATGCTGATGGGACCACTTTGCTGTTCAATCCCACTGGGCTCATCACAGACTTTTGGGCCTTGATTCCTCCCAGTACCCTTGCTGTTGACCAAAGTGAAGACCTCAACAGGCTC